GTATCAATGCAGACATACAATAAAACTTGCTTTATACTATAGTGGGTTCTTCAGGTAAACATTCTACTTACGTAAATATTCCAGCAAGTAATTGTATGTGTGTGCTTACTCAATTATTTTAAGTTTTGTACATAAGAACCTAAATAAAGCATTATTACAATATTTGCTTTTAAACTCGTACAATATACCTCATTTTATATCAAATCGCTGCCTATCAAAACACGGTGGCAGATTTGAAATTAAGGAGACCTTATAGGCCTCGATTGCATGTAGGACCGAAGCAGAACAAAGCTACGACCTCGGTTGCAGGTAGAACTGGTGCCTAAAACCGACCTACCAGTCAGGCTTTTGGGCTGACAGCTTTTTAAAAATTGATACTACCTCGGGTGCACGCAGAACCGAGACATAAAGCCTCTGCCACACCTGCAACTCACTGAACACGCTTCTTTCACATGGCAAGTCAGCCTTACGGCATCGGGTGCTATGTTTAACCAAGACATATAATGCTTTATTGCCTCAGGCAAAGGTAGAACCGAGGTATAGTATGCTTTCCAAACCCCATCATGTTTCTTCTTACCTTTCCCCATTTCGTTCGTGTTCTTCTCCTCTCTGCCCCAAAATGAAGCACTTCATGCTCCCAAGAAACCCTCTCAGGGACGAAGAACTCGCTTCTGCGACCACCACTATCACCTCTCCTAGCTCCGCCAAAACCCGCCCCTCTCCAAAGAGAATGACCCTCCCTCCGATCCCAATCTCATCTCCCCTTCTTCCTCTGCAGTTTCGTCCACCACTGCCACTACTTGCCTCGCCACGCCGCCTCCTGTGCTACCAATGTTCGTCACCTCTGTTTCTATTCTTTCCCACGCCTCGTCCTTGCGCTGTCGCGCCATTGGTGCCCTGCCGCCTACGTCCGCCATTGCTGCCTCCACCGCTGCTTCAATCTTGTTGCCTTCAATCTTCCACGGCGGAGGCTCCCTTCCAGGTTTAGCTTGATTTTGCAGGTTGAAAACTGCTGATGAGGATGAATGGAGGTTGAACGGGGTTGCGCGAAGTGAGGTTGGGGGAAATAGTTTGATTTAGGGTTTGATGACGACGGCATTGACAGTGAAGATTTGGGGAAAGATGGTGCTCTGCCGCGAAGGAAAGATGGTGCTCTGTGGTGCGAAGGAGATCGAGAGATTGGTGAAGTCGCGGTGGTTAGATGCGAAGGAGAGAGAGATTGGGGGAAATAGTGCAGGTTGTGCAAAGGAGAGAGAGAGCTCTCGCGGTGGTTCTGTGGTGGTCCGGTAAAGGTGGTCCGATGAATGGAGTGTTGAAGATTGGTGGAGTCGCGGCGGCGTCCTGGTTCTCCGGTGGTTCTGTGGTGGTCCGACAATGGTTCCCTCCTTTCAGGTTCCCTCCTTTCTGATCTGCAGTCGCGGCGGCGTCCTGGTTCTCTAGCTTGGTTTCTATTTCTTGCAGGTTGCCATGGATAGCGGCGTGATTCTGGAGAATGTTGTTGGAGAAGAAGACTTCGCGGGGTGGTTTGTGGTGGTCCAGTAAAGGTGGCACGGTTGTTGGGTGGTGGTCCGATGTAAGAATGAAGTGTTGAAGATTGGTGAGGACCTTTCTCGAGAGTGAAGATACCTTGCTTACTGGGAGAACTCGAAGCTTGTGAAACAACTTTTCACAGACAAAAGCAAAAAAAAATAACCACTCTACTGCCTCGGTTCCTTCTGAACCGAAAGTGAAAAATCCTTGAAAAAAAAAGAAACCCTACTGCTTCGGTTCCCTGTGAACCGAGGCAAAATCCTACCTCTTTTTGACTCGGTTGTGAACTGAGGCCAAAAGCCTACCTCTTTCTACCTCGCCTGTATATGTCTCGGTTCAAGAACCGCTGTCTATGGACGAAAATAACCGATGTCGTTTCTCTTAACTGCACTAGTGAAGATATTATATAGGAAATTATTTCTTAGCCATATTATCAACATATTTAAAAAAAATTATCAAATATAGTATGCAAAGGTTGATTGCTATATTAATAGATAGAAACCCGCATGTGAAAAAGAACATAAGGGTGGAATCACTACCAAGAAAAAGTGAGGCATAGGGAAAAAGTTATCGCAGTTGCTTTTGATTCAGGGATATAACTATTGATCCCCATCGAGACCGACTTGTGATACTTTCCTAAAGTTCTTAATAGATCTTGTAGACATGTAGTGATTTAACTGTATGATTTCTAGGTTTCTTCTCTATTGCGAGAAGGATTCTACCACTAGTTCTACACAACCTATTCATTAAAGGCAATTATGTAACAATATCAATCATGTCTATAAATGTATGTCTCCTTTCAAACTTCACGACACCATCCATGTTAACAAAATAGGACAATTCGAGTGGTCCTCTATCGTAGCTTTGGACTTGTCTCCCCTACCTCTCAAGGGGCTCACATCAGCTCTAAACTCAGTATGAGTCAGAACTACAGGTGAGAAATTTCATCCCTTTCTACCTCCTCGCAAGAGGAAAGGGTAGCACTCAAATCTTAGTTTCTTTTGACTAATTTTTTCCACCATCTCTTAAAGATAGAGAGATCCACCTTTCTACCCCCTCACAAGAGGAAATGTGACTACCTTTCTACCCCGTCGAAAGAGGAAAGGTACAACCACAGATTAACGAAGTATGGTAAGAAGACATACTAAATAAACATAACAACCACCACACTAAGTGGTTTGTTCAACACCGTGACTCATTCATTAAGTAAAACAATATTCACATAAACCATCACCGCTCTTCTCATAACCCATTCTCTTCCCCTACTTCACAAAGGCATACATAACCTATTTCCATTGCATTAAACAAGCGAAAGGGAGACCCTAGCTTTAAGGGTACCACTGCCAACCATACTGGATGACTTTCTACTCTTGGACAAGTCAAGAGTAGCCTTTGAGGATCTCAAAACTCACATTTGGATCGCTCACAACTATTTATCGTCTAACCAATCCCAAAATCACTCGAACAAAGTAATGTCATGTTACCCAATAATGTCTATCATCCACACAAACAATTTTGTGTGAAGATAGCCATACAACATCAAGAAATACATTCCAAGGGACACATGACTTTGAACACAGTCATTTCACCCATTGTAATAGATCCACGATGTTATCTCAAGATCTCTAAAACTATAATTAATTCAAATATCGCTTTGCATATTAAAACAACCACACATCACCAAAAACGATACCAACAAGTCACGCAAGTTCATAATCACTATACATGAATATTCCATGTCCAAACAGTAGCCTTTAACATTCATAGTACTTATTCACTAAAGATTTTTCAATGTGGAAAATAAATAGTAAAGTTACGATAATATTACTCCAAGCAATATTTCTATACCATATTACCCATTCAACATGTTTAAATCTCACAATAGTAACATCCAAACACCACACTGCCTCCCTTCCTATCCTAACCATAATAATATTCAACGAGCATTATCCATACTTATACCATCAACATTTAAACTATTTCATCATAGCACATATTACCATTAACAATCCACTTACAACTTCATATATGACTTCCTAATTTGACTAATAGTTTAACTAAGTCCTTGCAATTATCAACGGATTTTTTTCTGTGATAACTGTCGACAAATATAAAATTTTATCAGAAAATATTACCAATTATATTATTATCGACAAAGTTTTTATGTTTTACAGATTTTCGTCATCGATAATATCTATTTTTCTTGTAGGGATAGGCTTGTTTTCCTAATAATTACAACCTAAATATCTACGCTAAGTGGCTTCGGTTTTTTATCAACCAAACCGTATAGACTGTACAGGCTTTAGTTTCAAAATAACTGATTTAGTTTCAAAATAACTGAAGCTCATACCTCTCATTTAGATAAAATAATAAAAATAAATGATAATTTTAAAACTTCCCGAACTTATAAGTTTTCATTTTTTTTAGATACCAAAACATATAGTTCGATAGGCTTTCGTTTTCTCCGTCGAAACCTATAAGTTCACCATAATTTAAAAACTGTTATTGCGTTTTAATATATTTCGTTTTTCTTAAAATTGAAGAATTGAAGAATGTAAGGTTATTTCAAAAGCCAAAACTGCATTACTGTAAAGCAAAAACTGGATAGCCTTTGGTTTTTCTCGGTCTAGTGGTTTTTAAATTCAAGAATCATGCATATCATTTTTATTCATTAGGGAGGAATAGAAGCAAACCAATTTAGCTTCACCAATTCTAACCTTCTTTTTATTCAAAATCCCAAAATCTTTCATAATCCAATTAAAGAATGTCAATTGAATGTATGAATTACAACTCATAAATCTCACTTTTGCAAAATCAAAAAGAATTACCTCGAACTTAAGAAATATATAATGACAAAAAAATGAAATCTAACAACATAAGAAACACTTACAAGGACATATAATAGAAGACCATAAATCATTTCAAACATTAAACCTAACATTATCACGAACACTCCAATACATATTCTCCATGCTAGGTCAGACCGAAGAAGATTGAAAATAAGATAGTTTAATGTTTATGCCTCTCATTACTCTTTTTACCATTTAAATAAGTCCAATGGTTTATCTATGTGAAAGTTATTGGAAATAATATTGGATCTTATATTTTATTATTTGATGACCTGTGTTAAAATATAATCTAAAATTTATTTCTACAATAAATAATGAATAATTTTGGAATCAGATATCAGTCTTTACAAAATATACTATGATGCAAAAAAAAAAATCCTTAGTACAAAGTTAAGCATCAAGAGAAATTTTATTACAATCCAGCTCCACATCAATTTCCAGAATAATTTTTCATTAAGAGAAATTAAAATAATCCATCTCACATTACACTATAAGTGAACGAAAAGATAAAGAAAAAAAATTGGTCAAAAATACCTATAATGGTGTTAAAATTAACACTTATTTTTACTTGTAGAATTCAATAATAAGCAATGCTATATTATTGTACAATACTGTAACATTGTATTATTCTCTTGAATTAAAGCTCATCGTGAAGATTTATATCATTGTTTGTGACCATGTTTAAGAGATTTGAAGAAGATGGAGTCCTGAAAAATCCATGAAAAACTCGTTAGTATTTTTATTCTCTTTTAATTTCTTATAATATTTGCTAAATTTACTCCTCACGTGAAAGTTATTCTCATGCAAAATATATCACCTACAACAATTATGCTTGTACAAATAGAAAGAGAGAGACGAAAAATAAATAAATAAATAAATAAATAGCAACATACTTTTGCAATTGAACATTAGAATTGCTTGAAACGCTCTTTTCAGTTTGAGTTGGCGGTGTAGATGGAGATGTAGGAGATGGAGTCCTAGAAAAGAGAAACAATAATTTGTTTGATGTCATTGATACAAAATTGATATTTAAGTTATTAACAACTTACTTTTGCACTTGTATATTAGAGTTGCTTAAAACGCTTTTTTCAGTTTGAGTTGGTGGTGGGGATGGAGATGGAGGAGATGGTGTCCTTTAGAGAGAAATAGTTAGTAATTTATTTTATATCATTCATACATAATTAATATTTGAGTTATTAGTAACGTACTTTTGCAGTTGGTTATTAGATTTGCTTGAAACACTCTTTCCAATTTGAGTTGGTGGTGGAGATGGAGATGGAGGAGATGAAGTCCTATGAAAAAAGAGACAATTATTTATTTTATATCATCGATAAATAATTGATATTTTGAGTTACATATTTTTTAACATTAATATTAATATTTCATGACATATTTTTCTAAGTTTGAGTTAAAGTGAAAATGAAAATAGAGATTTAAAACAAGAGTCGATAATTTGTTTTTTATCATTAATATATAATTGATATTTGCCTTACTATATAACATACTTTTTTTTATTATTGAAATGTAATGAATATTTTAGTTATTGACGACATACTTCAATCAAATAAAGTTGCTTAACATGCATTCTTTTGATATTAAGTTGGTGATGGAAATAAAAAATTGTAAAAATCATTTTAAACCCTATTAAAGTATTCGATAATTTTGACACTCTTCTTTTCTCTTCTAATTAATTATCTTTCGTTTGTTTTTCTCTCTCTTTCATCCTCTTCCTTTCCATTCATTCTATCACACCAAACTCAATTAATCTTTATTAAATACATTTAAAAAACTATACATTCAATAAATTATATATATTTATTTGAAGTCTAAGTATTCTTTTATAGTTGATACTTTTGAAACTAAGACTAAAATAAAAACAATAATAGTTATACACGAAGTCATTAAGTTATAAGTAAGAACATACGTTTCAATTATTATATCGGAATTTTGTATTTCGTTCTGAGTTTCGGTATCCGGTGGAGGCGGAGCTTCAGAATCACTCTGTGCACTGTATAAAAAAATATTGTAAATACAATAATTCAATAAAAATATAAAATATGATCATAAGACTGTTTTAAACATAAATAAAATCCTAATAACAATAAAATGTATCTTCAAACTCTAACATCTCTTAACCCCATCAACAAAATCCTTCAACTATTTATTTATATTTGAATGAGTTGAGGTAACCCAATTGCTGATAAAAAAACATTTATACTTTAAACAAATTTAGGGTTTTTTTTGAAGGAAGTGATATATAAAAAGTAAAAACACATGAGTAACAGTATTACCTTATGACAGAAATGGGAGAAAGATGATGCAGCAACATTAAGGAAAGAAGGAATAGAACAAACATGTTGACACCCTCTTGGAAAGCCATCTCAGAAAAATGTTGTGAAGTTGTTGTTTGAGTCTGATTCTTTTGGAGAACTGTGATTGTGAAGAAAAAATGAACTGATATTTATAGAGATGAAAGAATGCAAGTGGTATTGGTTGGCAAAAGTCTGAGTGATTTGTCTCAGCCTTTTGTCCTTTTTCATATGATTCTAATTGGAAAATAAGTGAGTTTATATTATGATCATAACAACTTCCATCACCCATTTTGTCTTATACGACCAACAAAAGTTTCAATACTATTTATTTGACTGAAAAATTTGTCCAATTTGACTCATCTATTTAAACATACTTTTCTCAGCCAAATTGATGTAACAAGAAATTTTGAAGGGAAATTTTATTTATGAGAACACGTAGTTTCAAGCTGAAAAACATTATGTACCTTAGTTAAATAGACAGTGTTGCAAAACATTCTTCTTTTTATTTATTTTTATTCCATAGTTTTAATGAGTCAAGTTCCATTCTCTTCTCATGTTTGAATTTATATCAACGTGTTGAATTATTTACCAAAGAATGACGATCATTGACTGTAAAGACATGTAATGTGAATACATTCTTTTTATTGAGCTGTTTGAGAAGTTCTTCTCATATTTAGGTGTACAAGAAATTCAACTTTTAATTTGATACAAACTAGTCATATCTTGTGATATATTGTTCAGACTTTATATATATAATGTCAGTTTTTAACTACCACTTAAAAGAAAGCCATCAATATATCCATATAAAATTATCACTAACCACCATCAATATTAAATCTTTTTGAACAATAATTTTATAAGTTTTTTTATTAAAAAATAATGAAAATTTCTTATAAGTAGATTTATGAAAAACAAAAACAAATGTGGTGATTGAAATATTACTTAAAATAATTTAATTTAATTTATTGAATATATTAACCATAAATAAGAAAATTGAATATGAAATAATGAACAAAAATTTATAAAAATATTATTTTAACATTTTAGTGATATATATATATATAT